CTCCTCTGCACATAAAGATGACGCTCACGGTTTCCAGCGGTTAGGAGCTGGATACATCCAGGGCCACCATGCAGCCTGCTGCAGGCGGGTTGAGGCTATTGGTTTACTGTGTCTCACTTTCCCCACGTTTCCCTCTCTTCCCGGAGAGGGCAGGGTGGGCTTGCTGTGGTAGGGTTTCTGCTGCTGCTCCCCAATGTCTCGTTCTCCTCCCTAGTACATGGGACACTTGCTCTGGGCTTCCTAGCCATTGGGCCAATGGGCTCTGAGCAGAAGCCATGTGGCCTTTTCTAGGTGGACGCACAGAAAAGCAACCGTGAGATCTTCAGGCTGCCTCTGTAAGACCAGTATGTTCCAGAAGGTGAAGATCTGACCGATCTACGGCTCTGAGTGACTCCACAGAGCACAGCCCAACCTCCCACTTCTCTGCTGATTGACATAGGACACGTAGAAGAGCAAAAGGAAACCTTCCTTGTGACAAACAAGTGCTATTGGGGGGGGGGCTGTTTGTTACTGGAGCAGACCCAGCCTAACCTGACTAATACACTCAAGGAATGAGTTTAACAAACAGCCACTTACTGACCGCCTACCAAGACCCAAACACGCTACATCCTTGACACACAGTCCTCAGAATCACTCAAGCGTGGTCAGAATAATCTAGTCCATTTTATAGGTGAGGAAGCTGAAACAGGGAGGGGTGGAGGTCACAGCTGGAATTCAAGCCCAGAATAACGTGTTTCCAAAGATAAGCTGAGCTGCTGCAAGGTCCCTCCTACAAGGAGGGGCTAGAGAGGCTTCTAGAACCTTCTCTAGCCCCAGAAAACTGCTACTTCAAGGGTCAGTAGGAGCTTCTAGACAGGGCAGATGAACCCTGGTGCCAGAATCCCCAGTGACAACGTGTGTCCATGGCTGAGTCTTGCAGGCCTGAAGAGGACCCCTCAAGTCCAGCTGAAACCCCTTGTGAGGGGCCGACCAGCTCCTATTCACAGCCTCTCGCATCCCGGTGCTGGGAGAAGGTTTGTGGAGCACCTGTTTGTAGCCCGCTGTTCTGGGCACCTGGGAGAGGGCAGTGAACAAGATCTCCCGGGCTGACCCTCACGTCGGGAGAACAGGCAGCGCTCTGAGCGAGTGAGTCGCAGGTGTAAGCACCGTGGGGAGAGGAGAGTGGACGGGTGGGGCATCGGAGGACCTGCAGGCTGAACAGGTGGCGGGGGTGGCCTCAGGAAGGGATCCCAGGAACAGCCTGGAGTGAGCCCAGGAGACCCGATGGCCTGTGCCAAGTCCCTACCGCGGGAGGGGCCTGCCCTCCCGTCAGCAAGGACAGGTCGGGGAGGCAGAGCAGTGAGGGGGCAGGGGGACCAGGGAGGCAGCTGGGGACGCTGCAGCCCGCAGATGGCACCGCGATTACCCCTCCCCAGAGGGAGGAAGCCGGCGCTTTTTCCACCCGCTTATCTGATGCTGTGGTTGGAGGAGCCAGCGGGGACGGGGAGGGGCTGCTGGGCGCGGCACATCTGAGGAACCTCAGCGGGGACCTGAGGCGGCTGACATCCGCTCGGCCTGCGGCTTCTTCCGTGGCTTCCGCATCTCAGGTGGCCCTGACGCCTGCTATTTTCGCTCCTGTTTGGGGTTCTGTGGAGTGTTCCTCCTTGCAGGGCACTGGAGGCTGCTGGGCCCGGCCCCTCTTTGTGTTTGCTTTGCTTGGAGTAAGTGGGAGAGGGGTCACTCCAGTGTTCCAACTGGGGGACACTTGTCGTCCACCACGGGGAAGAGGAAATTGATTATACGGTGTCCTCTGGTCAGATGTCATGACCCTCCAAGCTCAGAGAGGTTAGGTGGCTTATTCCAGGTCACACAGCCAAATCAAACCACAGACCAAGGATTCTCACCCTAAGTCTAAAGGGACTTAATTTGCATTTGCTGCCTGCATTAGTTTTCCCCAGTGGACACACTGTGCTCTCTGGCTTTCTAGTAGGCATGAGAATAAAGGGGCACTGCCCATGGGTGACATCCTCCAAAATGTCACCACAGATGGGAAGGACGATGACATGGACGGAGGGGGCCATCAGAGCAGGCTTCTGGGAAGCCACAAAGCTCCCCCACACCTGCAGGAACCAACAGAGGGAGGAAGATAAAGGAAGCACATTCTGGACAAAGAGAGGCCCAGCAGTTGGTCAGGGRGCGCAAGGCAGGTCCTGGAGGAGGCCAGACCTGCCAAAGTGAGATCAGCCTGGTGCCCCGCCCCCAGGGAGCAGCTGCAGGTCGAAGCAGAGCCCCCCACCCTGCGGGTTAGAAGGACATCTAGGGAGGACTGAGCTCAGARGCTCACGCAGATCCCCTCGCTGCGGTGAGAGCAGACTCTAGGGGGAGAGGTGGAGGCAGGGAGGCCTGGGAAGAGGTTCCTGCAGCCTCCCGGGTGACAGGAGGAYAGGTGAAGACACAGCAGGTAGCTCTGATGAGGGAGAAGGCAGAGAAGGGTCAAGCCTGCCTCTGGAGGTGTGGCCAAAGCCTTGGGAGTGAGGAATGGGGATCAGACAAGGCCATTTAGGGTCCCTGCCTCCTTTAAGAGGAGCCCTCTGGGTGTGGGGACAGGCTCCAGGGCCTCAGCCATTCTTCAGGGTCAGGGTGAGTGAGCTGCCTCACTCTCCGCTGCAAATCTAAAGACAGAGGACCCAGGCCCAGGGTTCCCTTCCCAGGGCTCGTCTCCACAGACACCAACCGCAGTGGCCTCCGGGCTCTCCCCAGAAAACAGACCCAGGCCTGGGAGAAGCTGGAGGCCCCCCCCACTGTGGCTGCAGACCTTCCACCTCGACGGCCCCCATGTGTGAGCACTAACGGCCTCCAGCCCCACAGAGACAGGGCTCCTGGGCAGCCCCGAGTGCCCTGTGCCTGGGCTGCCTCTAGGGACAGGACTCCATGACCACTGGTTAGTTATGGAGAGGACAGCGGGCAGTCACCAGGGACGCCCCAGGCGAGGCAAGGAGACTAAGGTGGAGAAGGAGTCTGCCTTCCTCCGGGGGCTCCCCACACCCGGTTTCCAACACAGTAGAACACAAGGAGCTGCTGGGACCAGCCGGAATCACCTTCCCCAGGAAGTCAGAGCCCAGTGAGAGCAAAGACCTAGCCTCAGTCACCTAGCAATGACACAATGGCCGGAAGGRCCCCCAGCTCAGGCTTCCCGCCCCTGGGCACCTTCATCTTCCCAGAAGTATTCAGTGGGTGCCTACTATGTGCCAGCCCATTTGCAGAAGACTCCCTGAACTCCAATCATGAGCTCCCCAGGAAGGGAGAACACTTTTATTTACTAAGCACCAACAATGTGCTTTCTGTATCTGGTCCCGTGTGATCCTAACCACCTGCCGTTTTGTAGACTCAGARAGGTAAGGCAACTGGTTCAAGGTCACACAGCAAGCAAGGAACAGAGCCATGGTTCAAAGCCTGGACTTAAACCTGGGTTCAACTTCTGTTCTCTGGGTGGGGGCAGAAAGAGGTGGCAGCCCTCCAGCCACAGTGTCCCTCCCAAGGCCATCCCTCCCCTCCCTAGACTATCCTCCTGGGTCAGTAGTAAGTGCTTTTGAGGAATTCCTTTCCCAGTGGAGACCCCTTGGAAGTGAGCGGAGACCCCGAGAAACTGCTCTCAGCCAGGCCCTAAACAGAACTCAGAGCCTCTGACTCCAGGCACAAGGTGGGGGTCCCCAGGCCACACACACCTCTAAACCAACCCCCTGCCATGAGCCTCAGCCTCCTCCCGGCCTGAGCCAGTGTGAGGGCCATTGGCACAGCTGACCAGGTGACATGAACAGAGGTCCTTCTACATACTGGAAAAAGTGTGAGGCAGAGTGTGTGTGTCTGTGCACACACCACACACGATCATCATCACAACACCAGGAGACAACTATCAGGTCCCCATTTTATGGATGAGGAGACCGAGACTGGGAAGGAGTTTTCTCATGCCACAGACTGTATTTACGTCACAGTGGAGATGTGAGGGCTGGCCCTGACCCAGACCCTGGCACACAGCGGGCTCTGAGGACCACCTCCTCCATGGCCAGCTGCATGGGGCGCCCTCTGGCAGCCCTGGGCCTGCTGCCTCCCAGACCCAGATACAGAGGGGACCCTCACAGGGCAGATGCCGTTTCCTGGTGTCTCTGGGCTCCCAAGCGAGGGGAAGCAGGCCCTGGCAGGTGGCTTCCGTTCCTGGGATCTCCAACAGTGACTGTGACCAATCCGAGCACCAGAAGAGGTCAGGCCTCCTGGGCAGCTGGCCCCGAGCTGTCCACAGAAACAAGTCCCCCAAGGACAGCTGGAAAGTGCCACTAGGTGTCTGCATTCACGACTTCCCATGCTCCCTGTGTGCCCCAGTCTGCCCTTAAGTCTGCGACTGTCCTTCCTCACCTGTTGCTGTCTGCACCAGGAGGGCGAGTGGCCACCCATCTGGTGGTCTGTCAACATCCTTACTCAACAAAAGAGGAGCTGGCGGTCACCAAATTGGGGGGAGGAATCTGTATCGATTCCCCCCGTCTCCAAATCCCGACGGCAGAGCCACCCCGACTTGGTTCCTGGCGATGTCCCGCTCCTCCTCTCCCTCCCGCTCCCCAGCCCAGGTGTCCTCTGGGCTGCATCCTCGGGCTGGGCTGTCCCCATCTCTACTCTCATTGCTTCTGGTCCGAGTCGTGCAGACTCCCGGGCACAGCCGGCCAGGCCTCCGTGGGGTGTGCTGGGTGGAGGAAAGAATGAATGAACCTTCCTGGGCACCCTGGGCACCCTGGGCGCCGCGGCAGGAAGAGGCTGAGCCTGCTCCGAGGAGTCCATCCCACCCACCTCCAGAATTYGTCTTCGGGGGAGAGCGGCCAGCCGCAGGTTCTGGACGGGCCGGTGCCTCCTGCTCCCAGAATGTGCTGGKCACCAGTCGGTCCCTTCTGTCCCCACCCAGCCTGGCCCGTCTCCACCCCGCGGCAGTGGCCTGACCRCGGCCACCCCGCAAGGCGGCGGGCACTGCAGCTTACCTTCCGCAGAAACACCTGCAATGCACCAGCGACTCGCYGGGAGAAGGAGCCGGAGCCTCGCTCCACAGACGCCCAGGCAGCGGGAGCGAGCCCACCACAGCCTCGGTACGATTCTGCTGCATAATCAGCAGAGAAAGAGAAGGAATCCAGGAATAGCAAGCCTTCCGAGCCTCCCCACAACTCTGGGTCCTCTATTGGCTGGAGGCCCGGCACCCCCGCCCCCCATCCCATCCCTACAAGGTGAAATGGAAGAACCTGTTATTTAACCTCCTGTACCAAAACCCATCTTCTCTCTCAATCTGGGCCCGCGCGTGGGGAGCTCCTGGCGGGGTCTGCATGGGGCCTCAGGGAGCAGGAGGCAGCCCTGGACACGGCCGGCYGCATCTCCTGGCTGGAGAGGCTTCCCCACTGGCGCCCGCTGCCTGGGAGCAGGCGTGGTCCTGGGAGGGCTGGGAAGGGGCCYGCAGCACCTGTCAGCCTGGGAGCCTGGCCTCCCTCTCATTCAGACTCCCAGCGGCCGTCCTGCAGGACACTGTCCTGGGCGCCGATGCTCGCCCAGGGACTGCTCCTTTCGGAGGGAAGCCAGGCCAGCTAAGGGTCCAAAGCAGGCTCTGGTTGGTCAGCAGAAGCTCATCCTGGAGCAGGACGGGGCGAGGGGGGTCTGTGGTGCCGGCTGGGAGTGGTTGGGACAAAAAGTCAAAGACGTGGTCTTCCTTTTGCAAAAATAAGGACCGTGTGTGTGTGTGTGTGTGTGTGTGTGTGTGTGTGTGTGTGTCTGGGTGGGCGTGGTAAAAGGCACACCGTTGTTACCGTGGCTGCCCCAGGAAGCAGGAGAAGGAGGCATTGTCAGTTCTACTTTTTTCTTTCTTGTCTTGTTTTATTTTTTTTTTTCCTTCTACACAGACATGTATTATATTTGCAATTTAAAACAAACGTAGCCTGGTGCGGTGGCCCACGCCTGTGATCCCAGCGGCTCAGAAGGCTGAGGCAGGAGGATCGCAGGTTCGAAGCCAGCCTCAGCAACTTAGCGAGACTGTGAGCAACCTGGTTAGACTCTGTCTCAAAATAAAAAAGGAAARSGGCTGGGGATGTGGCTCAGGGRTTAAGCGCCCTCCGTTCAATCCCGGGTACCAAAAACCAAACAAATAACAGCAACAAAAAGAGAACGTGGGCACCGTTCCTGTCTCCTTACCACTCCCTGAAGCCCCCGGTGCAGGGCAAGGTCACTCACCATAAGACCAGGTAGGGCTGGGGACAGTGCTGGCCCCAGGCCCGTGGACCCCAGGAGTCTCATCAGCTTTCACAAAATGCCGTTCAATTAAGCCTCCATGAGAGGAGGGAACTCCGCGTGAGGGTACTGGGTGCAAACTCTGGCTCTGCCTGCTGGGACCCCTGCTCCCCCTGAGCCTCGGGGACAGTGGTGCCTGTTAAGTGTCCTGTTCTGGGCTGAGTGCTGTCAAGCCAGGTGACTGAGAAGCAAAACAACAGGCTCCTGGGGGCCCCTCAGAGCGCTGAGAGCACATCCAGGACGGGCAAGGGGAGTTCCAGGGAGTCCCTCTGTCACGGAACCTTGGAAGGGACTGGGAGACAGAAAAGGGCCAGGGAAGAGCAGGCACCRTGTCATGGGGCGGTCCCCAGCATGTCACAGGAGGGGGGTGGGTGGAGGGCRGCTGGAGGAGCTTCTGGAAGGGGCTCTGCGCCCTTCTCCTCCTCACGCTGTCCCCTCTGCCCGCAGAGCCCCCCACCTGCCCTTCCCACAGCGGCCTTCCCCTCCGCCTGGCCCTGCCCAAAGCTCTCCCTCCCCAGAGCAGGCTCCTCTGAGCCCAGTGGCGCCGGCACCGCCTTCTCCACCGCGWGCTCCTCCAGCCGCGGGTTCTGCTGGACCTGGGTGGGCTGTGCCTGGGTGTACCGCTCATCTTCCTCACTCGGCTCTGAGCTCCCTGAGGCTGGGACTGTGACCTCCGGGTCCCAGCACCTAGCACAAGGCCTGACACACAGTAGTTGCTCAACAAACAGAACATGCAGCCCACAAAGCCAAGGCCAAACCCAAGCACACAGAGCTCTTCTGAAGGAAAAAGAGGGGCAGATTTTGCACCAGGATCCAAAAATGGATAAGAACTTCAGAAATACTGGGGATTTGAAAGYCCACACAAAGTTGTAAGAATGCTAGAAGAAATGCTCCATGAATATTTATAAAAGCTTAGGATGAGAAAGAAATTTCTAGATCCAAATTCATATGAACAAGGATGTTTAYTGCATCATTATTTGTAAGAAAAGTGGAAATGACAATATAGTCCATCGATACARGATTAGTTAAATAAATCATGGCTCTCTTTTCAAAGGAGTACTATGCAGCCAGGAAAGCAAATGGCACTTGTTGATGTGGAAAGAAGCCCATACAGAAAGCTTTCTGAATGTTAAACTTGCTAATCACAAACCAGAGATCCTGATAAATTAAAGGTATAGCTGACTGTCACAGAGAAMGCATGAAGGTAACAATCCCTCCTTCATCCTTTATTTAGTTATTCATTCATTTCTTACCCTCTGTCTTCTCTCTATCCCACAGGGGYCCTGTTTCCAGATGACAGAGCAATGCATGAACAGGACACTGTCCCTGCCTTCAAAGGYATCCTGCTCACCCACGCAGGTGACAAATTATGACATAAGGGAGATGGTACTCACAGCTGGGGGCCTCAGGGTCATCCACTGGGTAAGGGGTTTCATGGAAAAGGTRTGGTTTGAGCTAGGAGGTGAGGGGGGGGCAAACTTGGGGTGTGCAGTTGCACCTCAACTCATGACTGGGATCAGTAGCACTAAGTGCCTGGAAGTCTGAAGATATTATGTGTAAACTGGAAAATGCAGTGACACACACCTCTAATCCCAGTGACTCGGGAGGCTGAGGCAGGAGGATCGTGAGCTAGAGGCCAGCATCAGCATCTTAGTGAGGCCCCAAGCAACTTGATGAGACCCTGTCTCAAGGAAAAACAAAACAAAACAAAAAAGGCTGGGGATGTAGTTCAGTAGAAAAGTGCACCTGGGTTCAATCCCCAGTACCCAAAATAAAGTCAAATAAAACCACATTTATCACACCTACCCTCCAGAATGTCGTTGGTCTACCTCAAACATGCTCAGAACACGGAAATTCACTGATGGTTGGGGGAAATCATCTCATGCAAGGCCTGTTTTATAACAAAGTATTGAAACTTCCATGTCACCTATTGAATACTGAAAGTGAAAATCACCAGAGCTGGGTGGCGACCCCAAGTCCCCAGTGCATGTTATTCTCAGGGTCAAAAAAAAAAAAAAAACCCTAAATGGAGCCACCCAAAGTCCAGGGCTGTCTGGACAGAGGGGAGGAGGCCTTTTCAGAGGCAGAGGTGGGCCGCTGTGGGCCAGGACGGGAAGTCCCTGGTTCCCCACCCGRGGCTGCGCCCAGCCGATCATCCACAGGAAAGGCCTCATCTGCAGGAGCTGAGCCTGGGGACAGAGGGGTCTGGACTTGGTCCTGCCCCCTGTGCTGGGAGGCAGCACCCCAGGCTGCCGTGATACAGTGATCAACAGCTCCCAGCCGTGACTCGGGCACCCTGACAGCACCGGCCCCAGAGGCGGGCAGGGCAGGGGCAGGTGCCTGAACTGAGGCCCAGCAAGGCCACCCGGGACCTGGCAGTGTCCCGGACACAGTCCCCTCTGCTCTGCACTGAACACTTGGGCCAAGGCACCCAGCTGGAGGGGTCCCCTCTCTGCAGACCCTCTGCTCAGCTGCTCCCGGGGGAGGGGAGCACCCGGGCAGCCTGCGGTTCTGGCTCGGAGCTCGGAGCTCGTTATGGTTCCCAACAAAGAAATGACTCAGCTTCCTGCCCAGGAGCCGCAGCCTTTCAGAAAAGAGATTTCTGCTTTAAAGCTCTCTCCTCTCTGCCATGGAGGCAGCTTATCTGGGCTGCCTTGTCTTCTCAGTGTTCAGCTGTCCCCAGACTGAGGGACGGACAAGGACCAGGGCCAGGTCTGGGGCCAGACCGCCTGGGTCTGAACTGGGACCYGTACCCTTCCTTGTCTGGACCAAGCTGCACCCTCTCTGAGCCTCTGTTGGCTCCTCTGAAGGTGGAACTAGCAGTTAGTTCCCTCCTGGGGTCGTCACACACACAGCAGCTGTCACCAGGGTAAGAGGGTCTGGTCCAGTGCCCGGCACAGAGTAGGTGGTCCATAGATCCCACGGTCAGGAATGACAGCCGCCCTGCTCTCCTGGAGGGCCTGGCGACCTCGTTTCATCCGGAGGCTGCACAGCGCCAGTCCTCACAGCAACAGCTGGTTCAAGTTTCTCTGTGTGCTCGCGAGGGTCGCTGCACACAGCCCAGCCAACTTACAATCAAGTCTCAAGAAGCTTCCTCCTCGGCCACCCTCTGGCCAGCACCCTGACCCCCTCCCTGTCTTTATCTGCAAAATGAGGACAGAGATTCTGAGGTTGTGGAGACCCATCTCCAAGACTTGATAAAAGCAGTTTCATGGAGGCTGAGGAACCACCAGCCACCACACACCATTCCTTCCCCAGGGCCAAGGACGAGTCACCAAGTGCTGTGCCTCGGGCATCCCAAGGGGAGGCCAGGTGTGGAGGAACCCCCCTGGGCAGGTCTGGAGCAAACACCAAAGCTGAGACAGAGGGTGCGAGCTCCGAAAGTAACCAGAGCAGCCCTGGAAAATGACCATCAGAGCCGGCGCGGTGGCGCACGCCCGTAATCCCAGTGACTCAGGAGGCCGAGGCAGGAGGATCGCAAATTCAAGGCCAGCCTCAGCAGTTTAGCCAGACCTTGTCTCAAAATAAAATAAGAAGGACTGGGGCTGTCGGCCAGTGGRAAAGCACCCCTGGGTTCCATCCCAAGTATCGCAAAAAATAAATAAATAAAATACATAAATCGACCATGGGCCACGACATTAATGCTGGTTCTCTCAACCCTTCATCCTGGAATTAATTAAAAAAAAAAAGCCCAGGGCAGGTGAAACAGGACCCCAAGCCAGCCCCCTACCGGAGTCCCGCCCTCCCCTGCCTCCCCAGGCCTCGGTGACAGAGCAACCGTAATAGTAAGTGACTGATTTAAACCCTGTGATTACCAGGGCTGATCTCCCTGGAACCCTGCCTCCACAGCACGGAGCACCTCTCCGGAGCAGTAATTGCCAAGTTCAATTTTAGCTCTGTCATGCCCGACCATCGCGCTGCGGCGGCTGCTCCTCGCCAGGTAAGCTGGTAACGAGGCGGTTCTGGGGCCTCACGTCACAATATTGTGACGCCCGTCAGCGCCTGTAGGAGCTGAGAAGCCGCGTTTCCCCAGCAGCG